TTTATTTCAATTTTTTTTTTATGATTCACAACAGTCTTATTTATTCGACAAATAATAAAGGATAGATCGATAATATAAGGTATGCTATATCCATAAATGATATACAACACACTGTATCAATAATTTAAAGACGGAGCTCAGTTTTTTCCTTTTCAACTTTAATCTTCTCCTTTAGTTCATTGAGGTAGAGTTTGCGTAGTTCAATTTGCCACTTTAATTTTTGGATAATACCAAATCCACCCCTCATTGGATCCTTTTTCCAAGCATCACCTTCCATGAGTATGGACGATGCCAACATGTCTTGGTTTTCGATGAGTTTGGACGATTCGAACGATGCCAACATTTCTTTGTTTTCGATGAGTATGGACGATTCCAACGATGCCAACATTCCTTTGTTTTCGTCTTCCGACACGAGCCTCATCATCTTCATAATATTTGGTGTACCAAATAATTTATGTGCATTTTCAAATTCACCTAGTCTAAAAAATAAAATCAAAATTGATTAGTATTAATACATAATTTTATTGATCATGCTTATAATAAAAAGAATTTGCAAAAATATGTATATATAAAAGAAAATAAATACTTTTCTGCTGGGAAATATGGTGCAAATTCACAATTTTTGGGGCATCTTCTGTTTTTGGTGGTGCATAGAGCACAAGGAGCACGATTAACATTGACTCTGGAGGCATCCATAACGATTTTTTTTTTTTGTAAATAAAACTTCACTAAACTTGGTAATTGAAAGATGAATGAAAAACAATCTTGAAGACAGATTTATATATAAATCTTTGGAAAATGTAGTCAAATTTTTTTTATTAAATTTCCAAAGAAAAAGATAAGTCTAGAAACTTAACAACTCGTTCTTTTTCTATTTTGGAAATATCTTGAGATTTCGTTTGACTTTAAATTTATTATTATAAATATATAGATATATTTCTCTAATCATAATACATATAGACTAATTTTACAATCATAGAAACTTAAATATTTTTATCCAATCACATGAGTAAAGAACACATATTAGGCCGACAAATGTTTTCATAACAATTAATACTGTTTAATAATGATGACACAATTTTCACATCATCATTTATTTATATTGCTATAATTATTTATATATATATAGACTAATTTTCCAATCATAAAAGCTAAACTACTTTTTTCAGTCACATGAGTAAAGAACACATATTACGCCGACAAATGTTTTCATAATAATTGATCAAGACAATAAAAACCTTAAGATTTGTCTCCAGCAGTGACACATCAGATTTTTGAGCGGTTATGGGAGTGACACGTCATTAAAATTTTAATAAAATTAAAACATTTCAATTAATACATATCATCTCTTAGCTTGCCATATCAACTTCCCACCTTGCCACATCACCTTTTTTATTATTAAAACACATCATTTTAAAAAAGACAACCAATCAAATTAAAACAAATAATACACAATGATTTTAAATTGTTTTATAATGACACATGGATTTCTAATTTTTCCAAAAGAAAAACAAAATCAGATTATATATAAAATAAATATACATCAACTTATGTTGACACTTAAACAATTTTTGTTATTTTTATTATTAAACAAATTTTATATTTAAATGTAAACTTTATATCTACAGTTTTTTTTACATAAACATATTTATATTATTTATATTTACGTTATTTTTCATAAAAGTTTTGACTATATAATTCAACAATCGGTTTCAATAATCAAAATTATGAGAAATCTAAAGAATTTCAATAATCGGTTTGAAGTGAATTTCTAGTTTGTTTGATTGTGTAGAGATCCAAGTGCCGCCGTCTATGGACTCATGCATATTTCTTGATTCGTGGGTTTCATCTCATTACTAATACACTATTCGTGATCAACTCTATATATATCACCACAAGATATTTTATTGTTCTATTTTCACTCACAAAATATTTAAAATCATTTTCAGCTGGTAATGTATCTTGAAATCATTCCAACTGAAAAATATTTAAATGTTGAGTTCTCTTATAATGACTTACATAAAAAAAAAAAAAAAAAGGCGTATTTTGATGATCTAGGTAGTCAATAAATTTTCATAAACTCTCTTCATCCACCATGATGTTTCACAAACCAAGGTTATTCGAATATTCGTAGCACCTATAAAGTGCAACGTTTTTGTTGCACATCAAAATTGTCACATATGATGGTGTGAAGCCACATGACTCAACAATCGTCTATATTCAAACTCTGATACCACTTATAACGTGTCGATTGCGTTCGTAACTCGTGGGCCTTATCCTTAAGTCCATGTTTTAAAAAGGTTTGAGCCTATGAATGTTTGCACTTATGAGGTCTTTTGTTTGAAACCAAATCTCAATAACATTCTGGTTCAAACAAAATCTCTATTATTTACCTATTGGCATGACAATCATTTTGAATAATATGAAAAACTCCACTATTGTTTTACTACATATATGCTTTTCTCAAACTTTTTTTATAGACAATTGACTTAGTGGTAGAGACTTTGAAATTCAAATGCGCGCCAAACTAAACTTGTTTTGTGGTCCACTAATTAATTGATAAATTAAGAAAATTGTTGGAAAAAGTGGTGACCACCTAAATAGTAGCAATGTGACATTTGTATCCCCCATGATACAAACTTCTAAACAACTTTCTAGTGATTTTGTGTTCACCATCTTGGGTACATGCACGCTCAACCTTTTCCAGCTAAGACTCAAGGCCGGTCTTTGGTAACATGACTAAATTTGTTGTAGGTTTGGGCAGCTACGAATGATTAAGGGGAAAAAACCCGAAAAAAACCGTCATCTATTTTTTATTTGGCCGTTTAATACCTGTAGTTTTAAAATTGGAATAAAAATACCTTTCTTAATTATTGTTGTCGTTTAAATACTTTGTTTTTTAAAATTTGGCAGATTCGCACCTCGCGTTAACGGTTCGTTAACGATGGTAACGGAATCGCTAACTGTGGTTAAACTTAACCCACATTGCTTATGTATATATATATATAATTTCTATTCCAACATATACGAATAAACTATCTTGGTGTGGTGGTTAAATGTGCGATGATTACCCCCCTGAACCTGCGTTCGAGTCCCAACTCCTATTTTTTGCGTTTTTTTTTTTAACTCTGTCTTCTTCATTCTTCATGAATCTCTCAGTTCGCTCTTCACACTGTAAATCATAGATCTGTTGACTTCTCAATTCTAATTCCACTTCTCAATCTCAATAATTCTAAATCGACTTTGTCTTCTATAAAAGAATAATGGAATCAAATAACAGAGAAACACAAGATCTGAACAGATCCGTCGAGAATGAAATCATCAAAATCACTTGGAGTCCGATCTGGGTGTATAACAGATTCTAGAATCAACAAGATCTCTGCATTGAGAGAAGGCAATTTTTCCCTAATTCCAAATCCCAATTTTTTTTATGGCTAATTCACATGAATTCTTTATTTATTTTCTTCGTTATATTTACACGAAATTGAGAAATAAGACAAGAAATTGAGAAATATCTAGGGTTTACAGTAACAGAGAGTTTTGAAGAAGAAGACAGAGTCCAAAAAAAAAAAAAAAAAAACGCCTAAATCGACGCAGGTGGAACTCGAACTCAGGTCAAGGCTGATATTCAACACTATGATTTACCATTAGACTAAGACAATATAAACGTATAAACTTTAAAAGCGATCGTATATATATTCGTAAACACTCTAGGTTAAATTTTAACCACAGTTAGCGATTCCGTTACCATCGTTAACGAACCGTTAACGCGAGATGCGAATCTGCCAAAATTTAAAAAACAAAGTATTTAAACGACAACAATAATTAAGAAAGGTATTTTTATTCCAATTTTAAAACTACAGGTATTAAACGGCCAAATAAAAAATAGATGGCGGTTTTTTCGGGTTTTTTCCCAATGATTAAGACCATATCAAAACTTGTACCGCTTGTGGATTGGACCGATTGTTATTTACCTTTCATTAATTATAATCCGTCGTAGTGTGAACAAAAAAAAACAAAAATAAAAAATCTATCTAACTACATACCGCTTTTATATAGAAATAAACTTGGTATACCGAAGATTATTGTTTGCTCCGAAAAATAAGAGTAGTCTATTTTGTAATGGTTTACTCTGCTTTGTCCCCAACATCCATTTCAAAACTGTAATTGTGTAAAGATTAAAAGCTTCACTTGATTCATTGTATTTATTCGAGTTCTAGATATATAAATACTAGAAAACAAGTGCTTAACATCAATTATTCGGCATCGTGACAATATTGATGCTAACATAAAAGCTTCACTACAAAATAAACTAATTTAGCATAATTTCTTAAATGTTGGTATCGCTTTTAAAACGATGCTAGAGTTTTAGAGTCACTTCTATAATCGATATTATAACTATAACACGTATATGCAATTATCTCAAACATATAGTTTATAAGAAATTAAACACTAGCGTTACTTGAGATTTTAATTGACAAAATGAGTAATGAAACTATAGCCACTGAGTCATGGAGATAGGATCTAAGAGCAACATTATTGGGAGGTGCTTAGTTTTGGTTCTTAGCCCAATTTTTGGTTCTTAGCCCAATTTTTGGTGCTTAGCTAAGAGCCATTCCTTAGCAAAATCATCAATTGCACCTTTAATTGAGCTAAGAACCAAGTTAAGAAACAAGTTAAGCACCTCCCAATAAAGATGGTCTAAGATTTGTATCTAAGTTAAGATGTTTTTCTTAACTTAAGATGTTGCAAGGTGTCACATTGTGATTGGTTAAAAAAACATTTGTGCTTTATGTTATTTATGTTATAAATTGTATCTTATGTATGTTTTAATTTTTTTAATTTGCAACAATTATTAAATTTTCTATAATTATAAATTTTATTTTTATATTAATATTTTTTTTCTAAAAACCACATGTTAAGAACCTACCATTAATCACACAAAAATCTTAACCCAAAAATACTATCTCTTACCTATCACTTTTACAAATATATTACTTAAATATTCCTAAGATTTATTTCTAAGATACTACCAATAATCATGCTCTAAGATTTGTAAAGATTCAAGAGAGATTCTTAGTGACGTCTTGAATGAACTTTAGAAGAGCAACGTGCGAAGATCCACCGTCCAATAAAGCTACGTGACTCTTCTCACTCATCTCCTTCACTCTACTCCTCACGTCACTATCTTGCTCCATCAAACTCCGGATCCCTCTCTCTATCTCCTCCGCCGTCATCAACTCCGAGTCCGCCGCCATGAAATCTCCCCGGAAACTATTTCGGATCTCCACCGCTAGCCCTAGCTCCTCAACCATCTCGAACGCGTTAACTTGTTGCTCTGCGTAAAGAGGCCACGTAGCTATCGGAACTCCGAACCATAGACTCTCTAGTGTCGAGTTCCATCCACAGTGTGACACGAATCCTCCGATCGCAGGGTTTGCTAGAATGGCGCTTTGTGGAGCCCAACCGATAATCTTACCTATCTCTGCCGTGCGTTCTAAGAATCCTTCCGGGAGAATCTCCTCAAGGTTCGCAAATTCTCCGGGAGGTCCCATCGTTCCTTTCGGCTGAGCACGACGAAGAGACCAGAGAAAGCGGTGACCACTTCGCTCTAGCGCGATTGCGATTTCTTTAGCTTGATCCTCACGGAAACCTCCCATGCTTCCGAAACAGAGGAACACAACGGATGTACGTGGCTGCTCGTCTAGCCACCGTAGGATCTCCGATTGCTTATCGTCAGATGATATTGTACCGTTGATTTTGAGATTTATAACCGGTCCCACTGTGTACACCGTAGGAAGAGGACTATCTACGCCGGAGAAAAACTTCATAGCTTGAGGTTCAAGCTCAGCGAACGTATTTACCAAAATACCCTTAGTTTCTCGGAATCTTCGGGTTTGGCTAAACAGAACCGGTAACCACTCCTTGGTCAACAGAACCGAGGGAAAACACTTAACCGGTAAAGGACGAGTCAAACAAGGAACTTCCAGCTCAGTAGTGTCCGAATCCTTCAGGTCACTAACGTCATAGTTCTTAACGTCGTAAAGGTACTGAATATGAACTTGCAATCCAAGAAACGTTGCGTTGGAGGTGTAAAACATGTAACTCGGAACACGAAACTCGTTGGCGACATCAATCATCATCGTACAGAACATATCCACCACGATTCCAGCAAGCCGCGGCGGCGACTCTGGTTGAGCCGGATCGGTAAGTTTTTCCACAGTGGCTTTTACCTGCGGCTTAAAGCCATCGATGTAGTCGAAGAAATGTGGTTTGGAGTCATCGGAGGCTGGTTTATCAGGGACGGAGAGAACGTTGTACCGAAGACGTTCTTCAGAAGCAGAGGAGAGAGAAGCGATGTAAGAGGAAGAGTTACCGCTACTAAAACCATGCATCTGAGGGATGATGATGATGGTGATGGAGAGATGATCGTCACGGTCGACAAGAAGCTTAGCCACCTCCACTAATGGCCGGAGATGTCCGTCACCAGGTGATGGTATGAACACCAGCTCCATTTTCATTTTTCAAAATATTTTTTTCTTGTAGCAATTGATTTTCCTATTGAAGGTTGAAGCTGTACGTTACGTTGAAGCGATAAGACTCGTCTAGTGCATACATGACATGTGGTGCTTGGACATCTACTGTTTTTGTTTGACTTTCGTCACAGTCCATACAATATTGATCTTTAGACTTGAAAGTTACGTTTATAATTGGGCTTATATTTCCTGATTATGGTTAAAAAACTGTCTATTTTTCAACTTAACCCTTAATTCATTGATATTTTGTTGGCATTTATAAATTATTGTTTCTCGAAATATCATATATGTGGTGGGATGACAAAAGACAAAAACACGACGTGTAACAAACATACTCTCTTTTTGGTCCACATAATGACCTGTCCAAGAAACGTACTCCACTCCCCTACCTTCTCGATTACTGATACGAAAGTAGCAAAAAGCAAGCGTGGCCTTTCGCTATAACACTATTTAAAATGTGAATTGTTATTTCTAAGAATTCACATGATGTAGTTGTTTCTTATTTTTGTGGATTGAGGTCAGCATTGAACTTAAGGTGGGTTCAAGATTTAGTATGCAATTAAAGCACTTTTCAAGCGGTGAACAGAATCCATCACTCTCTTCTGACTTTTTTTAGATTTTGAAACAAATTTTGGATTCATGACAAAATTTTGTTTTGAAAGATTGATGTTCTATCTATCACTAAGTGATCACTTATAAATAGTTACGTGTACTTTTGTCTATTAAGCAAAATAATACTTTCAGACTCGTGACTTCTTTCAAAATTTTGTTTTGAAAGATTCATGATAAATTCAGATAATTCATGCACATATTGTGATTATTCTTTGCAGATAACAAAATATAAGAGATATTGATGAGCCATAAACTGCATTTCTTTTCTTACCCAAACGTAAATTGCATTATTTTGCTTAATAGACAAAAGTACACGTAACTATTTATAGTACTTTCAGACTCGTGACTTTTGTTGTTTTCAATTATTTCATCATAGTTTTTTAAAAAGTTCCCATTATTATATCACAAAACATCCGACCATGTTCCTAACTTCCTATCATCCTATGGAACATTATCGACCACGTTCCTATGGAACATTATCGACCACGTCTTGAACAAACTTCTTTAGAGCACAATTTGAAGATCCACCGTCCACCAACGCCACGTGGAGCTTATCCTTCATTTCCATCACCCTCTTCCTCATCTTGCTATCCTGCACCATCGCACACTTGATTCCTCTCTCTATCTCATCAGCAGTCACAATCTCCGGCTCCCCCACCAGAAAATCTCTACGATACTCCTTCCTCACCTCCGCCGCTAAACCAAGCTCCTCCACCATATGAAACGCGTTAAACTGTTGCTCAGCATAGATAGGCCACGCCGCCATCGGAACACCGAACCATAGACTCTCAAGAATCGAGTTCCATCCACAATGTGTCACGAACGCACCTATCGCAGGACTCTTTAGCACATCCACTTGTGGTGCCCAGCTTATGATCTTCCCTATCTCCACCGTCCGATCTAAAAACCCTTTCGGAAGAATCTCCTCTAGGTTCGTGAATTCTCCAGGAGGAGCATTAGTCATGTTTTCCACCAGAGAAGCGCGACGGAGCGACCAGAGAAACCTGTGGCCGCTCCGCTCGAGCGCCACGGCTATTTCTCTTGATTGTTCCTCACTAAAACCTCCCATGCTCCCAAAACAGAGGAACACTACAGATTTCGTCGGTTGCTCTTTTAACCAACGTAAAATCTCCTTTCTCTTCTCATCGTCGCCGCTAGTTTCGAAGTCCATTATGGGCCCAACCGCGTAAACCGGTGGAGTATTCACATTCCCATTCTCGCCGGAAAAGAACTTCAACGCCTGAGGTTCCATCTCCGCCACCGAATTTACCAAAATACCCTTCGTTTCTCTAAAACTTCTAGCTCGGCCTACCACGTAAGGAAACCATTTACTGTTTAGCATGACTGACGGCAAACAGTTCGCCGGAAAAGGCCGAGACAGAGTTGGAACGTCAAACTTCACGTCCGAGTCCTTTAACTCACTTACGTCGAGTTCTTTCTCATCGTAAAGAGATTGAACATGGAACTGTAGCCCGAGATAAGAAGCGTTCGACGTGTAGAAGATATAAGCCGGGAAGTTAAACTCGTCGGCGATGTCTATCATCGACGTGCAGAACATATCCACGACAATCCCAGCTAGCCGCGAGTCTGAACGTCTTGAAACGTCTCGGGCGAGTTCGGACACGGCGGCTCTGACTTGTGGTTTACGGCTGTCGATGTAAGATACGAAAGTATGATCAGTTGAATCATCTCCGGCGGGGAGGAGGATGTAGCGGAGACGGTCTTCCGACTTCGTGTAGACAGAAGAAGAAGCGTCGTCGGAGAATCGTGAAGGGATGACGATGAGAGTGACGGAGAGGCGGTCGTCGCTGTCGACGAGAAGCTTTGCTAACGCCGTGGTTGCTCGGATATGGCCAACGCCCGGCGATGGTATGAACACAAGTTCAATTTTCATGACGTACTTTTGTTTGGACTTTTCGAATTGATAGTGCACGCTTGTCTCGAAGAAAGTAATGATAAATGTTTGTGGTATGTTTTTAACCTTTTACTTCATAGTGCTTCTTGAACTATATACAAGTATTAATCCCATTTGCTCATAACAATTTAGAAAAGTTATGAATTGTAAAATATTGAACTAATAAAGTTTTTATTAATGCTGTTCTATTAATTAGTGAATCTATGGAAAAAAAAGTAGGCTATTGAATTTCTTGACCAAAAAAAAATGTTATTGAATTGATGGTACAAAATAAATAAATACTAGTTTTTAACAAATTACATAAACATCAAAGCAGAAAACAAGATATGTAATTGATGAATTGAACATAAAACATCAAAATAAAGACTTTTATCAATGAAGTTACATGAATATATTCTATAATTTCAGGTTATCGAATTTCTTGGCGAAAACAAAAAGTAAATTGAATTATGGTACAAATTTCAAAATGAACATTAAAAAAAAACTATCTTTCAAAGCAGAAAACAATAAATGGTACAGCCCATTTATAAGCTCTTTTGTTATAAGTAAGGCCCATATTGTATGGCCCAAATAAAGCCATTTAATGGGTTTCAGATACACGGCGAGTTCCAGATCGTCCGTCTCTCCCGACGAGAGGACCCTCTTCGTCACCGTCGCTCGGAAAAAACCCGGCTTCAACTTTCCGAGGAATGTGATCGGTTTGGCTTGGTAAATTAGGTACGATTTAGAACTAATTCTGCTTACGTCCCTTTGTTGTTTCTACGATAATGAATTCGAATCTGCTGGATTTTGCGTCTCTTCATTGAAAATTGAACATAAGGTGTTCGACGAAATGTTTCTCTTGATTTTCCCTTTTTTTTATTCAGATTTATCGAAAGTTCATCACTTTCGATTCTTGTACTCATAGAATCGATAGTTGAGCATAAATCCATAGCTCTGCTTATTTGTTTTCTTTTGGAAGATAAGATTGACTTACCATTTCCATGTGTATTACATTCACTGATTCATTGTTCTCTGTGTAGATTAATCTCGCTATGTCGAATTGGAGACATAAAGTGTGGAGAAATTTAAGCTCAATTCAAGGAGCTAGTTACTCAACTACGCCTTCAAGAACCAACAAAATAAAGCTTGATGACCTTAGAAAAATCCGGCCAATGATTCTAAGGAGAATCGAAAATCGAGCAAAAGATTACCCAGTTAAAGAGATTGTTCCTGTAGCTGAAGAAATCCTTATAGCTAGAAAGAATCTAATTAGTAATGTCACCGCACTTCTTAAAGTGTTTCCTGTCTTGACATGCAAGTAAGTTTCGAGTTCTTTTTCTCTGAGTCTGCTTTTATACTGAGGTTTGTAAAAAGTCTGCTTTTATACTGAGGTTTGTAAAAATCTTGAAACTTTTCAGATTCTGCTCAGAAGTGTTTGTTGGCAAAGAAGGACACTTGATTGAGACATGCCGTAGTTATATACGGCGTGGTAACAATAGGCTACACGAATGGGTTCCAGGTTCCATAAACGATATACTTGTGCCCGTCGAATCTTATCACTTACACAACATTTCTCAAGGTGTTATCAGACACGAACAGAGGTTTGATTATGATCGTGTTCCTGCAATCTTGGAACTATGTTGTCAAGCAGGAGCCATCCATCCCGAAGAAATCCTTCAATATTCGAAAATTCATGATAACCCGCAAATCTCTGATGATGATATCAGGAGTTTACCGGCTGCAGATCTCAAATATGTTGGGGCAAACGCTCTAATGGCGTGGGAGAAAGTGAGAGCTGGTGTAAAGAAGCTATTGCTTGTTTATCCTTCAAAAGTTTGCAAACGGTGTAAGGAGGTTCACGTGGGTCCGAGTGGTCATAAAGCTCGGCTATGTGGTGTGTTCAAATACGAGAGTTGGCGCGGCACTCATTACTGGGAAAAAGCCGGTGTGAACGATTTGGTACCTGAGAAAGTGGTGTGGCACCGGAGGCCTCAGGACCCAGTGGTTCTTGTTGACGAAGGGCGGAGTTATTATGGACATGCCCCTGCTATTGTGAGCCTTTGTAGCCATGCCGGTGCCATTGTTCCTGTAAAATACGCTTGCAAGATGAAGCCCCAAGGTTTATCTTTTTTTTTCACTAATTCAGTTCCAAATCTCGAAACATAGAGAGTAGCTATAACCACTGGTTTTTGTCCGGTTATGTGATTGGTTTGGACTTTGGCATTACTGTTTATTTTAGAACCAGACCAAGATAAACTAAATCGAGGCTTTGTAGTCTTTATGTCTATTGGCATTCTCTGTACTAAAACTCCAACCACATGATGTCTGTCTCTTTTGGTGTTATGGGAATGAATTTCACATGAAATTAACTCCATATTTGATACAAGGTTAATGATAATTTACAGTTTCATAGGTACATACATGTTATCAAAAGCCATGTGAATGATCATAACAAGGGCACTTGATGGGTTCTGCCGTTCTGATTTCTTCTACTTTATACCACATGAAAAAGGGGAGTTTGTTTTAACCTTTAATAGAGGCATAATTTAAACCATATAAATATTAGATTAAAAAGCAAAAAGAAATTACAAAGTGTAACACTCCCGACCGTCCTTACCAGTGAGCACCCATATTCTCTCTCAGGCCTGTGGACCCCACTCCTGTCTGACGGTTGATAAGTTACGTTTGGGAGGTTTTAAAGATTTTTTTACCGACCCTATAAATCATCACATAATCTTTCTCTGTGTTTTGTCCCCACTCACACAGTTCTGACAATCACTTTCCGGAAGGTCACCCATCCTGAAATTGCTCCAGTTCAAACACGTTTAACTGTAGAATTCTTTCAGGACGTTTGACCGAAAAGATAAGTGGACTTTGGTGACATAGATGGTTAAATCAATTCTTTTAAATATCTCCGCATGAACCATCATATTCATGAAACCGGGGTGTTACACAAAGCAGCTTCCAACCCCCTTGGCCAATATGTTTAAACAAATAAACCGAATTGCATAACTAAACTGGAATTAAAACATTAAACCAGATTATGTAGTAGAGTGTGGAATTCCTATCACAGTTTTATTTGAATAACGAGAAGTGAAATCCTCTGCAATTTCGTTTTTTTTTTTCTTAGTACTTGGGGTTTTGCTTAGGATGGTATGGTTTTCTATATTATTATCAATTTTATTTCTTACTAATATATGATGTAGCTTATGTGTTTGTGTAAATCTTTAACTGAAGTGTGTATGTAACCAAATATAAATACCATCATCATAATCTCAGTTTATATTTCTCTAAGTAGATAACCCAATAAATATAACCCATCATGTGATAATAGTCATTTCAATAAATATAACCCAATTCAAAGCAAACAAAAGAGAAAGAAAAAAGAAAAATATAAATATTTTTAAAGTAAATAACCCACCTTATGATAATCGTAATCGTAGTCTCAATAAATACAAACCCAATTCAAAGCAAACAAAAGAGATAAGGAAAGAAGAACACTACTTTTTTTATACAGTAAATAATTCACCATATGATAATCCTAATCTCAATAAATATAACCCAATTCAAAGCAAACAAAAGAGACAAAGAAAGAAGAACACTACATATTTTTTAAAGTAAATAATTCACCATGTGAATCGTAAACAAATATAACCCAATTCAAAGCAAATAAAAGAGATGAAGATAGAAGAAGAAGAAGAATATATATATAGCAAATAACCCAATTAATGTATAACAAACCATATGATCATCACAATCTCAATAAATATAACCCAATTCAAAGTAAACAAAAGAGATAAAGCAAAATGCGAGTTTGTATCATATTTAATATAACATACTATAGTTAGGAAGTTTATGAGTAAAAGTTTAATACAAGTAATTTCTTATAACTATAATATTAAATTTTTAAAGTCAATAAGTGATGAATATATTAAATTAAATATACTCTTTTAGGAAAATAATGAACAAAAGGTAAGCAACTAAAACATATCTCCGAATGGTTATTTATTTTATTTTTTAAAATGTTCTTTGGCCTATAAATAGAGCCACTTTGTTTACCTTGAAATTCAAACTGATTTCCTCCTATCGCCCTCTATCTCTCATATAATCTTCAAACTATTGCTGCCCCAATGCATAGCTCACTGAAAACAACGGCTCCAGCAACGTTGGAACGGCTATGTATTCTCTTCTTCTTTCTTTTTTGTGCAACTTTTTGTACAACAGGTATTCTCTTATTCCTTGTCTTTTAATTAGTTTCTCTTGACATGATTTACTGCTCATAAAGCTTTAGCAATTAATTTTTGTGGTTTCTTCATTGGTTAATGTGTGTTGATTTTTTTGGTAGTTTCTTTTTTGGCTGATTAAAACATTTTGAAGGGAAACGAAAAGTGTTGGAACTACAGTTTTTTTCCGTCCAATTTTCTGATGGCTCGTAGAATTTTTTTTTGCTACGAAAAAAAAAAAAATTAGGTGCTCGTTATGATTGTATCATGAGATTCAAAATCTCTTATTGCAGCCACCTTGTGGGAGATTTAATGAATTAAGGAAAGAGATCCTACGTTTTTAAAATCTGTTTTATCTTTTAAACATTGGTTTCTATTGCAGTTTTCTAATTTGGATTTTTTCTGTCCTACAAAAATAATACGTTAGTCTGTAAATTGATAATATCAAAATTTAAAAGCGGTTTCTTATTTGCAAGGTTATTTCTAATCTTGTCTCTAACAGGGACTCAAGACGGATCTTTTGAGTTTATTACAGCAAATGCTCACATCCTTAAAAGATTAAATGTTGAAGAGATGAAATGAAAATAAGATAGAGTTTGTGCCCGGTTAAAATACGCATTCTACTAGATTTTTTAGCAGGGCTTGTGTTTATAAACTGTTACAAGGCTCTTGCTTTGTAAACTGTTGATGGAAATATATTTTGAAAGACTTAAGCTTTTATATATAGTTCTTGGAACAGAATCATTGGAGCCATTGCATGAGGATAAACTGATACTGAGAGGGTTGAAATTTTACGGTTTCCATGGAGTGCTTCCAGAAGAG